GGAGAAGAGGAGAAAAAAGCAGCAGCAGCATTTGTTGTAATATATGAGGGAGAGGTGGCTCCAGGAGCCAAACCTCCTGAGAAATAAGAGTCACTAATCCGTCAGCTAGTAGGATTCTAAGAGAAGGTCTAAAAGAATCAGGAGCCCCTCCACGGCCAAGACACTCCTCTGCTTTTCTGTCCTATAATGGTGCCAGCACCCTGCTGGCCTGCCAAAACCAAACAACAATAAACATGTATTTAGAAACCACATGTCTAATCACCATACTAGGTGCTAGAGACTTAAAATGAATTAGACCCAGCCCTGCTTCAAGATCTATATAGTCTAGTAGATGGGGGTGGGACGGGGGGACCAGACTCATAGGTGACCATGGAAAAGGGAAAAGCCAACCGACCTGAGCACCAGGTAACTCTTCAGTGAAGAGACTGGGTGCTCAGGTAAAGAAGCCACTTCGACTGGAGGCATCTAGGAAGAGAGAGAAGAGGCTTTGGCTCCTTGGATCTGAAGAAAGCTAAAAAAAAAAAAAAAAAAAAAAAAAAAGTCTGCATCTGAAAAGAACAAGAATCAAGCATGTTCCAGGGTCCTAAGTAGCAAAAAATGAATGCATAATTCTGCCTATGCTTTAGAATGATGTACTCCCACTGTTTTGCCACCTTTGTTCTCTTCTGCTTAGGATTCAAATCCAAGTTTCATTCCTTTGTCGAGAAGGCAAACCATCAGGAATTTCCATCTGGGAGCAGGTTCATTTCCCAAAAGAAATTTCAGTCGGTGTTGCCAAAAGTGGGAACAAGATAAAGGTGATGAAAAGGAAATAAATATCAACGAGAGCCTGGGCAGACAGAGCTGGTTTCCACCCAGTCTCCTCTGATTTCATTCAAAAAGACAAAATACTCAATTTAAAATTCCTCCTACCAACCCTGCGCACGCACACACACACACACACAAAACGTGGGCACCCACATACCAACATCCTTGAAAATAGGAGTAGTTGTAAGATCCAGTTCTGCCCAATGAGATGTAGGTAATATTCAATGAGTGGAGGTCCTGGTTAACTTCTCTGAAAGAAAATGTCCCCTTTGGTTTTTTATCCTGCCCTTCTTTGCACCTGAAAATAATTGTGATGGCTGGAGGAGCAGCAGCCATCTTACAACCTGAGGCTGAAAGCTATACTCTAGGGTTGGGGTTGGGTAACTTTGTAAAAGAAGGAAGACTAAGTGCTCAATGACTTTGTAAAATTATTTACTTTTTAGTAGAGACATTGAAACTCAAGCAGCCTAATTCCAGAACCCATATTACAATTAGTTTGATGAGTGTTGGTAGCAGGAGGTTTGGGGGTCTCCTTCCATTGGTACTCAGATCAAATGACCCTACGCAGGAAGCCTTGCCTAATTCCCAGGATAAATCAGGATTCCTTCATTTTATAAGTTCATGGCTCACTGTCATTTTCCCTCTGGAAAGTTACCGCAGTTATCTGTGTCTCTATTTGTATGATGCCTGCATCTACTACCAGACTCTAAGCCTTGCAAGATATAGATATGGATCTAGTTTTAGATCCATATCTCCATCTCCATTGATCTATCTATCTATCTATCCCTATCTATCTACCAACCTATCTATATAGAGCCTTTGTATTCCTGATGCCCAGCACAGTGCCTTGCATAACATAGGCCCTCTTATGTTTGCCAAGAAAATAAATGAACAAATGAATGAAAGCCATGAATTGAAACCACATCTTCAGAATCCTCCATCACCTTTATTTCTACCAAGAAAAACAAGATGCGAACAAACAAATTTAGGAGTTCTCAGTTCTTTATAAGAACATAGACACCTCTTGAAGATTCAAGGGCTGATTGTTCAACGCGTTGGCCCCCCAGGAACTTCCTCTGGGCATAGCATGGCTTCTCAGGATGCACACAGATTACAAAGGGCATGTCTGGTTTCCTCTTTAGGAGAGATTGGGTGAAAGAAGAATCTGGTCCTACCTGAAGTCTGGGGATCATGTGGGTGTGATTATCAAGATTCATGCTCTGTGCCACTCCCCTGAGAGACCCCCAGGCTGTCCCCCCAACACCTCCACCTCTGATCAGTCTCCAGGGTCAGTGGCAGAAAGCAGCAAGCCTTTCCACGGCTCTGAATTTGAGCTGCTTGTGCATTGAGCACTGTCAGAGCCACATCAAAGGCTAAGGTTGGGTTGCCAGGTCTACACTGAAAGTCCTCAGGAGCCACAGCTCAGGAGGCAGGGGCTCCGGAGGCGCCCCCAGCTCCCTGGGAGACCAGGTACTTTCCTGAAGAGAACACATCACTCAGCTCTTCCTGTGCTTTTACTGTAAACTCTTGGCTTATTATGCACTAAGAGGAAGGACAGAGGGGAAAGAGACAGACAGAGACAGAAAGACAGGGGAGGTTGACTTGAAAGATGCACAGCAAACAGCAACTGATTCTTACATGTTCAGACCTGTGACTGACAGGCCCCACTGAGAGACAGAGACTGAGGCCCAGAGAGGGAAAGTGGCTTGCTCATGCCCAGGAAGCTGAGAGAGCAGAGAGGAAAACCCAGGGCTCTTTAGCCAGTTCTCTTTCCACCACATCTACACAGTCACTCTTCCGGAAAACCCTCTAGGATCCAGAAATGAATTGAGCTCTCTTTGATAAGAGAGGCCCCCAAGAAGGAGCAGGGGGACAGCAATTATAGGTACCGAGAGCCAAGTATGCGCACGGCACAATGGCGGACTCAAGTGTCATCCCTTCCAGCATGTGACAGTCACTGCATCTCAGAAAGTACGTAAATGAAAAAAGCCAAGGCCTCTGCCCTCACTGAACTCCCAGTCTACTGGGAGAGTCAGACATGCACCCAGCTCCATCCAATACCTGGCATCCTTGGAGAAGGGTTAGCAGTGCACAGAGGAAGGATTTGATGGTCAAGGTGGGAGGGGTGCAATGGGAATCAGGAAAGGTGTTCTGTCCTTCTGGGTAAATATGTGTTCACTGGTGGAAGAAAGGTCACCACAAGCAGAGGGACATGGGCAGCAGAGGCCTCAAAGTGGGAAAGTACATGGTGTAATCCTGGTGAGTCACCCTGTGGCTGAGGCTTAGCTTGTTTGTAGGGGACAGTTGCAGAGAGCTGACTAGGAAGGTAATTTAAACCATTGATGAAAACCGCAAAGCTGGAAGCCTGGCTTTGTGAATGTCCGAGTGCCCAGTGCAGGGCTGAGCACCAAAGACCCATGCTCCACGTAAACGATAGTGGGGCCTGATCATTTCCTACCTGGGAGCTTAATGAAGTGTAAAACCTTGTTCACATCTCCTACCATCTGGGAGTTTGTGCCAAAAAACTCTTAAAGACCACTTACAAAGCAGTACCTATCAAATACTGCATATTCTGAAGCACAGAAGTCCTGTGGTAGACATGAGGGTGAGTGGCCAACATAACCCCATCACCCATCTACAAGCTTTATGAAATGGCTTACAATTAATTCTTCCAGAGAATAAAGAGATAAGAGACCTGAGATGCAGAGACAAACACATGGCAAGATGGATGACATCTAAGTCTACCATTGTGCCTATGTATGCTTGGCTTTCTCTATTTATTTATTTATTTATTTATTTAGAGACAGAGTCTCCCTCTGTTGCCCAGGCTGGAGTGCAGTGGTGTGATCTCGGCTCACCGCAACCTCCACCTCCCGGGTTCAAGCAATTCCCTTGCCTCAGCCTCCAAGGAGCTGGGACTACAGGTGCCTGCCACCATGCCTGGCTAATTTTTGTATTTTCAGTAGAGACTGGGTTTTGCCATGTTGGCCAGGCTGGTCTTGAACTCCTGACCTCAAGTGATCCACCCGCCTCAGCTTCCCAAAGTGCTGGAATTATAGGCGTGAGCCAGCACATCTGGCCTGGCTTTCTCTTTTAAAAGAAAGAATTTTCTGGGGTGCTTTGCTTTGCCTCATCCTCATCCCATCATAGCAGAGGATGCCTTTTTTCCACCTCAATCCACATTAAGGGTCTTTTAAGAGGGTACACAGAGAGTTAGACCAGAGGCCCCCAGAGTGAGACACTTTTGAACTCTGGCAAGTAAGGGGAATACTATCTACTGGACCTTTTAAACCTGGACTCTTATTTTACTCTGTTGTATGCCCAAAACTGAACATAAATTGAATATTAGTAACCCACCTGCAACATGCTCTTCTCAGTCCTTGCAATGATTTGGAGATTTACCTTCACTACTACATATAGAGATGTACTTCATTCATCTTAACTGCTGTAAGGTGTACCCTCACCTTTTACTTACCCATTCCCATGCTTAACCTTTTTATAAATGTAAAAGAAATGCATGGTCAATACTGTGGAGTCCTAGTGAGGGAAAGGAAATCAGGCTGGTGGGGCCAGGGGAAAGAACAAAGAAGAAAGTAGATCAGCTATAAGTCTCTGCCTCTCTCCATGGTCCAGCACATACAGCCCTCCTGCGCCTAACTTATCACCAGACACCTGCGAGTTAGCTCACTGCAACCCTGGTGTTATCAGTACTGCACAAAGCCCTCTTCAGCATACAGCATGAACACCATTTTATAAAATCCCCAGCAAGCCTTTGTTTTCTTGCAGTCAGCTCCTCTCTTACCGGCTGCCTGTTGCAAACTCACAACTTATTTTCATACTTTCTTTAATAAATCTGCCTTTCTTCATCTATAGCTGTCTTGGCAAATTCTTTCACCCCCATGCCACCAGCCCAAATAGTCATTTCTCACCCGTGACAAATCCAGAGAACTTGGAATATACAAAAGGGGAATACTTTAAAGCCTGTTACACAAAGGGATTATTTAGACAAATCACTCTGGCTGCAGGGTGGAGGTTAGGTAAGTGAAGATCAAATAGGAGGCAAGGAGAGACACATACTTGTCTGAGAGAACAATGGTCTGATCACAAGTGATGACTACAACCCAGACTTCAAAGTCCAAGTTGCTCTGGCTTCAAATCCCAACCTTTTATTCTTTTTTTCTCCATGATGACATATAATATACTCATAGCAGGGTGCTTGTCAAGACATCAAACAGGTTATCTGTTGAGATGAATTTAAAATATAAGTTGGCCATTCTTCTATTTAGATATATAGATTTTTAAAAAAAGAAATCACCTAGAAAAAAACACTTCTGTGGTCCCCTTGAGTTACATAAATATAGGTGATACTTGCAGTGGGGCAAGGGGAGCCCAAGACAGAATCATGTATTATTGCATTAGAGCTGTCACTTCGGGAGACCAGGGGTACACAAAGTAAGGGGGTATACCCAGAGATGGACCAATTTATTTAAGGAGTACAGGGAATGGTTGCTTACTTTTGTGAAATGGTATGCATGTATTCTTAAGTTAACATTGTTTTATGACATTCTGGGAAACCAAAATGTGTATAGTTGCAGAGAAAACCAACAGAAAGCATCAATCCTGGGAATTAATTGATATTAATGTCACTCACTTCCATGATGTTTTGTACAGTTAAGCACTTTGCATTATCAAGCATAAATTTACTCTGCTCGGGGGGAACAAATAAGACCACTAAATATTAACATTCTCATTTCTTCTGGCCTCCTTTGCCCTCTGCTCTCTGGCCACCTGTAGTTGATAAGAAGAATAAAGTAGAGTAGAAAATCTAGTACTAATGTTGTGCTACTCCACTATGGCTAATATACAAATCCCAAATGTCAGATAGGGTAAGGCAGAATGGAATTTACGCAATTGGGTGTGAGTTCTTGCTCTGCTGTTGATGAGCTCCGTGACCTAGGTCATGTTCATGGAGCTTGTAAATGGTTACAATCACGTAGACTTTATATTTGTGTTGCTCTGAGCATTAGTAAATGAGATAACATTTACTAGAAAATGGTGTGCACACAATAAATAAGTAATGGATGGAAGCAGGAGATGTGCTTATCTGTCTATCTGCTCCTCCTCATTCCTTTAATTCCTTGACTCCACCCGGGAAAATTCAATTTGAGGTTTACACGCTAGGCATGAAATGTTAATGAGGGATGGTGGGCAGCTGTGGCAGGCATTCCTAAACATTCCTCCTAAGTATTGCACTCAGCCCTGGAGGAACCAGGCTCCAAGGTAGGGGCCTCTAGCCAGGTCCCTGGTGCCATGCCAGGGCAGGGTGCCCCAAGATAATGTGGAGATCCCCAAATACCTACACCTCTGCCTCAAGCACTCCACAGAGTTAAACAGCCCCAGCATTTAAATTGGACGTGGGCTGTTTGTCACAATCTTTGTTAATATCAGAGAGGTGCTTGAAAAATTGAGAGGCATTCCCATAATGCCATGCATTTGAACTACTTCCTAAGCATGTGTATATGGATCATCTCTTTTGGTCTTTGTAACAAACTCATGGGGTTCACTGGGCAGGTACAAGTCTCTTACATTTGCAGGTGAAGAAACTGCAGTGAAAAGGTAATGCATTTTGCTCATGGTCACAAAATTAGCATGTGGTAGTGTCAAGGTGAAACCCAGAGGGTTCATCACTAGACTGACCTATTGTGTCAAGGACATACTCAGCTTAGACATCCATCGATGCCCATGAGCACACAACAGCACAACTAATTTTACTGCCTGGACATCATTTCCTATCATACACACCTTAGCTTACCCATCCCATCTCACTGCTGAGTGTATTTCTTAGTAACCATGAGATTCTTAAAGAAAACATAAGTTTAAAAAGACAGGTAATTATAATCTTTTCCATTCACACTTCAAATTAACACTTGGTACAAATGATGTACTCCCAACTCTGCAGCGGCTTTTGCTACTGGTCTCCTGAACCTTGTAGAAAAAACGAAGACACCAAAGACTTAGCCTTCCACCTCTTTGGCACTTCCTCAAAGCCAATGTACTGGACCTCCCAATATATTCCAAGATAGGATTATATTAACATATTATTTCATCTAAGATTATAACTGTAATTATTAACAAGAAGACATGTTCATTAAGAAAAAATTTTAAATATGGAAAAATATGAAAATGAAATCATCCATAATTCCACCCTATGTGCATGTGTGTATATCTGTGTGTGTATATATATATGTTTATATATGTATGTATGTGTGTATTTGCATGGGTGTTTCTATGCTTTTTTTCTTCCTATGCTTATGAAGCTTGTGGTCTCAACCCTCTTCCACACACACTCACACTCTGTGGGCAGGAGGAACACAAATCCTCATGTGGCTTCCTTTCTACTTATAGAGTGCAGTGTGGGGACACCATGCCTAGGAATCTTATGAGGCCTTAGATGCAGAAAAGTGGCTGTTTGAAAATTTCTTCCTGGTCTTTTTGTGGGCATCATGGGTTGAGGGCTTTATAATTGTGTCTCCTTCTTTAAAAGTGGAAAGACGGCTGGGCACGGTGGCTCACACCTGCAATCCCAGCACTTTGGGAGACGGAAGCGGGCAGACCACAAGGTCAGAAGTTCAAGACCAGCCTGGCCAACATGGCAAAACCCCATCTCTACTAAAAATACAAAAATTAGCTGAGCTTGGTGGCAGGTGCCTGTAATCCCAGCTACTCAGGAGGCTGAGGCAGGAGAATTGCTTGAACCTGGGAGGCGGAGGTTGCAGTGAGCCGAGATCATGCCATTGCACTCCAGCCTGAGCGACAAGAGCAAGACTCTGTCTCAAAAAAAAAAAAAAATGGTGGAAAGGCTCTGGAGGACTGCCAGTTCCCCAGATAGACCACCATTTATCAGCAAAGGCCAGTTTTCACTGACCAAATATGGGAGAGTACTGCCTTGAACAAGTTTTAGCATGTCTTAGAAAAAGGAGGTCCAGGGTTTGGGGGTCTGGATTCCAGTGTTTCAGGCAGGTCCTTGTCATCTGATATCTTAGGGTTGGTGGACACTGAGAGGCTAGAGGCTTGGAGGCAGTCTTGCTAAGTAAATGGCTGTTTGATAAGCAAGAGGGTTTTTCCAGTTGAGCAATCTATTGTCTTAGGAGAGATGATGTCTACCCAGATGAGCATCCAATTGGCCTGGGCAGAATAAATGGGTTTTCATGAAATGCCTGAGGTTAACAATGAAGTTATTTACTAGTTTACAGCTTTATCTTCCTGGGCAAGAATTTTCTGGAACAAATGGTAAAGTCATATTGGGCCTTGGTTCCGAGTCCTGATTAGCAAACTTAAACCACCACCAAACTCAGTAGCAGCGTGGAGGAGTGATTGAGCCCCAACAAAACATTTGACAATGTCTGGGGACATTTTTTGTTATCTTCATTGGGAAAAGGTGCTTCTGACACCTAATTCACAAGTTAGGAGTGCTGTTCAACATCTTACATAGCACAGGACAGATCCCTACCCCTGCAACATGGAATTATCCAGGCTAAAATATCAAAATAGTCTTTTGATATTTTACTCTTAAGGTAAGAGACTCTGACCTATAAGAAAATGAAGATTCACTCTGAGGACATTTGAAGAGGGAAAGGAGAAACAGGGACCAAAGTGCAAGAAAGCAAAGTTAGAAAGATGAGGGGACCCCTGGGAAGGGGCCAACTTAAAAAGAAGTCTGGGACCGACCATATGACTGATTACATCATATTATTAGTGATGTTTTATGGTCAACATTGTAGTAAAGCATTTGCCTACATCGTTAAATATTTTTTGAAAACATGGCTTTTAATGGTTTCATAATATCTTCATATATGCCTGTGCCATAACTTTTTAACTAAGTCCTTATTTTTTGCGGGCAGAGTGTTTCTGATTTTCTGATGTTGTCAGCCATAGAGCAATGAACACGTATCAATACATCTTTGTGAACATCAGGTTGTTTCCTTAAACTCTTAGACAAAAAATTGTTACATGAAAGGACATACATGTTTTCGATCATTTGATATACGTTGCCAAATCAGTTTTCAGAAAGACTCTCCAATATAGATTTCCACAGAATTTATAGAGGGTTGTTGGGATTTTTTTTTCAATGTTTATGCTAAGGGACCAGTCTCTACCATAAAAGATTTTTCTACCTGATTCTTCCCACTCTTTCTTCCACAGAATGTATCAATTTAGAAATATTGTGCTACTATGGCTGCCTCAGCCTTCCAGATACCCATTCTCCCTTTTATGGAATTATTAGGAGTAGTTGAAAGTTGAGAAAGCAATTACCTCCCTAATGATGTCCTAGAAATGTGAACCTTTTAGTTTAACATCAAGTGATTCCATTTGAAAAGAGGGAAGAAGAATTGATAAGCACCTAACATACCACCTCACCTTTCAAAATGGAAGAAGTAAGATCTAAAGAGAAGATACTGTTAGCCTCACAGAACCAGGGGAAAGTTGAACCTAAAATCCAAATTCTTTATTCTTTATCCAGTGTTATTTCTGCTGAGTCCAGTTTCCAAAAATACAGATAAAAAAAGACTTTAACACATGATATTTTCATAGATAAAGAAAATTGGGCTCAGAAGAGTTAGGCAGCTTACTTCTGATGACAGAGCTGGTAAGTGGCAGAACTGGACTCCAACAGCTTCTATCCAACTTGACTAGTTGGTACGGGTATTTGGTTAGACTTCTGACGATCCAGAAAGCGAATAGTCCATAGTTAACTTATTCATAGGAAAGCCTCAGGTGAAAATATGATGCTCTCTTTCATATAATGAATATTATAATATGGAGTTAAATCTAAATTAATTAACTAGCAGATTCCCTTTATAATAAAAAAAACTTATGGTGTACACCATGGTGCTGTCATTCTAGCCAACAGTCTACAAACGTACTGTCCTACAGGGTGGTCACTAGACATGTGGAGTTATTGAACACTGAAAATGCAGCTAGTTCAAGTTGAGATGTGCTGTAAATGTACACTACAAAATAAACTTCAAGGACTCAGTATGAAAAAATAAATGTAAAATAACTTGCTAATAGTGTTTACATGATTAGATAAAATAAATTATTAAAATTCATTTTCGCTGCTCCTTTTTCCTTTATTTACTGTGGCTACTAGAATTTTTTTTTTTTATTTCTGTGTGGCTTATATTATGTTCCCATTGCACAGCACTGGTCTAAACTAATTCTTGCTAATTCTGTGATCAA